GTTCTAGAGGTAAATCTAGTACTGAAATCCTATGACCCCAGAAACTGAAAAGATAAGAAAAATGTGCTATTTTGCAGCTCCAAATAGTTAATTGTCCAGTACAGAGTCAAACTTGACAACAAAGTAAATTTCAAAGTAGAGGACGGAAAAGTATGGTCAGGACATTGGACCCAAGATTACTGCTGATTTGCTCCTGTTCATTGCTGAAAAGAACTGTGTGTGTGTGTGTGTGTGTGTGTGTGTGTGTGTGTGTGATGGTAAAAAGTGGGAGAGGGGGGCAGTGTTAACAAGGACCAGGGAGAATATATTTGTCTAGAGATTTGCAGATCTGGTCAAGAGAGAAAAAATTACTTACATAGATGTGTCAAGCCAGATACAGAGAAAAGCAGATATGGAAAGGAAAAAAACAATAGCATGGATGTGCCTAGTAGTTTATAGGAAACCACATCCATGAAGAATCACATAATCTTAGGGTTGGGAGAGACCTCAGAGGCCACGCTGTCTAACCCAGACCTGACCTAGAATCCCCTCTATATTATCTCCAACGATTGTTCCTTCAGCCTTTGCTTAAAGATCATTAATGTGGGGAAACCTGCTCTCTTCTGAAGGCAGTTCATTCCATTTCTGGGTAGTGTTAACTATTAGATATTTTTTTCTCTTTTTAAATAATTTTCTAAAAATTCTGAATTTAACAAATGACACTTCTCCCAACCCAACCCTGCGCACTTCCACATACAAAGTAGAACACAAAAAAGCATTGTACGTGAAACTTGCTGTGTGACCCTGGACAAGCCATTTAAAAAAACAAACCAAACCTCTGTCTCAGTTTTCTCATCTGTAAAAATGAGGGTAATAATAGTACTTACCTCCCAGGGTTGTTGTAAGGATTCAATGATATAATAATTGTAAAGCATTTAGCACAGTATTGGAACACAGTAAGTGCTATATAAATGCTATCTATTATTATTATTGTTATTATATTCAATTGGTTACTTTCAAAACTGTCCTATTTAATCTGTGCTTCCTTCTGTAGTACTTTGTACACTTTAACAATGTTTACATAGCACCCCCTTTTTTTTGCATCACCATCCATAACCCTCCCCGCCAAACAAAAACAGAAAAAAAACCTTTGTGATAAATAAAGCATTGGCAAGCAAAACAAAACCCTACAGTGGCCATGTCCAAAAATGTGTTTCTTGCTGCAACTTGATTCCACCACCTCTGTCACTAGGTGGGTAGCATGCTTCATCACAGGTCACCTGGAAATGGGGCTGGTCTTTGTCTTGATCCAAGTGCTTAAATCTTTCAGTCTTGTTTTTCTTTATAATATTATTCTCATTATATAAATTATTCTCCTAGTTAAGCCCACTTCACTCTGTATCAGTTTCTAATTTCCAAGATTCTCTGAAATTGTCTTTTTGTCATTTCTTACAGAAATATATCATTACACTCATATATCCTAATTTATTCCATTGTTCTCTTTGCTTTTCTTTCCCCTCCTTTTAATCTTCCCTTTAGAATCAGAAAGTTTGTTTTGCTTATGACTATTTCCCACTCAGTATTATCCTCTCTCTTAATTCTCCCCCACTCTCACCTGTTTCCCTGTTGAGTTTGATATATTTCTTCATCAAACTCTGCATGTGTGTTCGATTCTGCTTTCGTTTAAAAGGGTTTTTTTTTTCTGATGGCCTCGTTCTTCAGTAAACCCTGCTGCCTAATTAATATGAGGTCTACTCAGCCATTCTCTCTAATGTAACATCGAAGTGATGATACTCCTTCCTCCATCTTTGTTCCTCCTTTTTTTTTTCACAACCCAATTAGGAGAGATAGCAAGTTCTACCCCCTTCTTCCTCCTTTCTATACTAGTATATTACTTTTTTCCTCCCTTCTCTTTCCCCTTAGAACAGAGCCAATCCATACCCAGGTCCTCTGTTTTTGTAATAGAACAAAAGGGTTTTTGTTTGTTTTTGAGGCAGCTGATGGCACAGTAGATATAATGCTGGGCCTGAAGTCAGGAAGACCTAAGGTCAAATTTGACCTCAGACACTTATTAGCTGTGTGATTCTGGTCAAGTCACTTAACCTTTGTCTACCTCAGTTTCCTCAGCTGTAAAAGGGGGATAATAATAGCACCTCTCTCTCAGGGTTGTTGTGAGGATCAAATGAGATAATATTTGTAAAAGAGGCAAATGCTCAAAAGTCTTCTCTTCCATTAAAGGTGAACTTCTTTTTCCCTATAGGATAATATTCAGCTTTTCTGGGAAGCTGTTCTTAGCTGTAAGTGTAAGGGGATTTGACCTTTGAGTGCCCAGATCTCCTAACAGGGAGGTACCTTGTATCCTGCCTACATGGGTGAGAGTGGACTGCTTTGACTAGCTGTGTAGCCCAACAGGCCCCATTCTTAAAACTGGCCAGACTGAGACTGTCTCTCTCTTTTTTGTGTGCTCTTTCCTGTTTTGTGCAGAGGGTGAAAAGTACAGCTCACTCACATCATGGGAGCCATGAATAGAACCAGGAAGAGGGAAAACTTCCCTCTACTCCTTTCTTTTACTCTCAGCTCCTATTAATGGGCCTGAGGGTGTTTGTTTCTGTTCTATTTTATTCATCCTTCTCTGTTTTAGATGCCCGTGGTGATTCCCTTCAACTGGAAGTGTAAGCCACGGTGACCTCAGAGTCAGGATTCCAGGAGGGATGTTGCAACCAGCCAGCCTGAGCAGGGAAACCCAGAGAAGCCTAGGTACTTGGGACTTGAGCTTGAGGTAGGTTTTGGAATAAGAAATAAGACTGTACTCTATTGAAACCAAGCTAACTTAAGAACCTAATACTCTTACTTTCCCCAGAGACTGAGGTGGTACAAGGGGTAGGGAGTAAGGGAAAAGGATTAAATTCAAGTGTTGAAAAAATAAGTTTGTATATTTGTTATTATAAATTTTAGTGTAAATATTCCTTTGCAAATTAGTCGTACTGTTGGTGGTTAAATGAAACTGAAGCATAGGAGGTCCAGCCCCCGTAATTGAGGGAACATTATCAGCAGGCAGGGCAGCCAGGTGGCATAGTGAATAGAGCTCTGGCCTTGGAGTTAGTAGGACCTGAGTTCAAATGCAACCTCAGATACTTAACACTTACTAGCTGTATGACCCTGGGCAAGTTAACCTCGATCAACAAAACAAAACAGAACATTGTCAACAGGGGCTAGAACCAATGGCAGAGAGCCTTAACACCCTTCAGTCTCCCTTAAGGTATCAAAGAACCCTAGGGCAGGCATGAAATATAGTATACCTCACCTTTAGGCAACAGGGGCTTGGGAGAATCAGTGTTACATATGAGGCCTTATCTGGAATTAAATTAGGCCCTTCAGTTTTGTGGCAGCCTTTGTAGAGATTTTTTTGAAAGATATTCTAGACTACAAGATACTAGAGGACTTTGTCATTTTTTTTAAGGCTATAAATGTACGGTCAGTTTTTTCTCAGTGTTTATTCCCTCAGAAGTCGGTTCTACTGGTGTAATTTTGCAGACTTTTTATTTGTTGATAGCTTGACTGTTTAAATGTTAATCCTTTTTGAATTATTGAATTCTGTGTAAGTATTACTATACTGATATATCGGTTCTATATTACTGAGTCCTGTGTAAGTACTGATATTAAGTTTAACATAAGAAATCTGTAATCACTGGGTTTGCTACTATCTAGGTAAAATGTTTCTATTGCTCTTTTGAATTTGAAGAGACCTATGCACCTTACCTTTTTGTGAAAGCAAAATATCTTTCAACTTCTTATGATGAGATGCCCGTGCCTGAAATCTACAATTAGCTGATACTTTTTGCTACTCTACTAAGTGAGCCTACATTTCTTTTCAGGCAGTTGGGGTTAAGTGCCTTGCCCAGGGTCACACAGCTAGTGTTAAGTGTCTGGTCTGAGGCTGGATTTGAACTCTGGTCCTCTTGACTCTAGGGCCGGTACCTGTGCCACCTGGCTGCCCTCAGAGCCTACTTTTCTTCCTGGACTAATGGACTTATAATTCCATTTGGTTTACCCAGGCAGTAGGTAGGATCTGTGGGAGAAATTTTGGGTACCCTTTGGAATAAGGTCCCAGAGTAAATTACCTAGACTTCCATGTGGATAGCCTATGGTCCAGAGGATCCTAGAGAATTTTTTGTTTGTTTGTTTTTTGCTTTTTGGTGAGGCAATCAGGGTTAAGTGACTTGCCCAGGATCACTCAGCTAGTGTCATGTGTCTGAGGCTGGATTTGAACTAAGGTCCTCCTGACTCCAAGGCTGGAGCTCTATCCACTGTGACTGTCCCACCTAGAGAATTTTGATGTGTAGAAAGGTACATTTTTGGTCCACATCCAAATTGGATGGTCTTATGCACTGAGTGAAATCAATGGAAGAGTTTCCACCCAGGACAATTTTCTCATCTGAGAAAGTAATGACACCTATTCCTTCTCCTTGTCCCAAATTCCCTCTGGGAGAATTCATATTCTAGAAAGCTCAGAGTGGACCAGGTTTCCATCTGCGATGGGAAGCCAGTTTTCTTTGCCTTCTTTGCTTTTTATTTTAGTTGTGGGTTGAGAAAAGTCCCATAAGCTAAGGCTGAGCAAGCAGAGATATTTGGTAAATTTTGTAAAATGCTTCTGTTTTGTGGAATCTGCAAAACTTGGTATTTGTGGATGTGGTTTTCACTGTACATATGGGATTATGTATGATCATTTAACATTGGCTGTTTTTGAGACTTTACTGTGTGACACAGGGAGGCAAGTAAATGGACATTGTTTATGCCTCCCCAGAGAACACAGAGAAACCTTCTGAATTTGGGACAAGGACTGTTCAAAAGCAAGCTGTTGCCTGCTTGCTGGGAATGGCAAACAGGGAAATATGTAAGGTAGCTTGAACTTCCAGTGTGCAGATCTCCTAACGTGGGGGCACCCTGTGTCCTGCCTTTTCCTCTTACGTGGGTGGGAGTGGTCTCCTTTGACTGGCTGTTTAGCTAGAACAGGCTCCATCTTTAAAACTGTCCAGACTGAGACAGTCTCTCTCTTTCGATCAAGTCCAGAAGATAAAGATCACAATTTACCCATAGCATGGAAACCATGAACTGAACCAGAAGTAGGGATAGTTTTTCCCCTATCCCCTTCTCTTTTACCCCAGCTCTAAGAATTGGTCTGGTGATATTTATTTCTGTTCTGTTCCCCTTGTCCTCAGTTTTAGGAGCTGGTGGTCCCTACTGGAACAGAATTTTGTGCCATGGTGACTTTGGAATCAGGATTTCAGGTGAGATGTTGTACCAGTCAGTCTGGTAGGGAAGCCCAGAGAAGCCAGAGAGCTGAAAGTGGGGTTTGGACTTTGAATTGGGAATGTGTCCTGTAGAAATTGAATTAAACTGTTTTTATACTTGTTTTTATATCTTTTGAAGTAAATACTCCTTTGTAAAAGCTAATCTGACTGTTAGTAATAATAATAATAACAGCTAATATTGTTATGGCACCTTCTGTGTACCAGGCATTATGCTGGGCACTTTACAATTATCACATTTGATCCTCATACAACAACCCTGGGAGGTAAGTGCTATTATTATCATCCCCATTTTACAGACGAGGAACCTGAAGCAAACAAGTTAAGTAACTTGCCCAGGGTCACACAGCTAGTAAGTGATTGAAGCTGAATTTAAACTCAGGTCTTCCTGATCCCAGGTCCTGTACTCTATCTACTATACCACTCAGTTGTCCTTGCTGTTAGTAGTTAAATAGAGCTGGGGTACAGGAATCCTATCCCCTGCAGTTGAAGGAACACCATCAGCGGGCACTACAGCCATTTGCAGAGAGCCTAGATTCCTAAAACCTCCTTAGGACTGGCTCACAGTCTTTTTCTCCTCCCCAACTCCTTCTTGCCATGATTCCTTCTTCACTCAGCCCTCTAGTGCTAATCTAGACGCCTGACTATACTGACTGGGGAGATCTCTCAACCAGCCAAACTGTTAACCCCTGGCTGCTGCTTTCTGGTTATTATTATGCCACTCCCTCCCAAACTCTTTCCTCCTTAAACTCTGGGATGTACAATCACATCTTTTCTACTCATATCCCCCAACTCTTAGCACTAAGGCTTTCACATAGCAAGTGGGTAATGGTTTTCAAAAATGAATTTTTGAGAAAACATAACTGACTCCATTCAATGCTATAATGGCCATCCTTATATCGATGTACAGAATGTCCCTTTCAGTACCTCATACAAGGGGATTCCAATATACATATTTTTTTCTAAGTATGCATCATACATTTATTACTAAACAACCTTCTCATCTCCAAAATAGGGCACAGGGATTAAAAATAAAAATTAATTGCACTACTTAGTAAAGCATTACTAGTAACTTTCATAAAAAATGTACAAATTTTGTTAAAAATTTATGAAGCCTTCAAATGATTTGGTTACAGGTATTTATAATACATTTAAAACTACATTAAATGATACAATAGAGTACAATGAAGAAAAGACTCAACAAATATGATTTCCAACAAAAACTCATAAGCTTTCATAATCATTAGCAAATTTGAAACAAATAGCAAAATGAGGTAACTGAATGTACCAAAAGGAAAACAAAAACGGTTTTAATGGCGGCCCAAAGATATCTCCATCAAAAATGAAACTGAGTTGGTAGATCCCATCTAAAGTATTTACAAGAGGCTTAGCTAAATTTTAAGAGCTTTAACAAATCACAGTTAAGAGATCATATAAAACCTAAACATACTTACTACATTTCCCCCATTTTGCTTGAAAAATTTTCAGTAAGAAAATGAGATTTTAAAACAACTCTGAGGTAGCACATCACACCTATCAGATTGGCCAGCATGACAAAACAGGAAAATGATAAATGTTGGAGTAGATGTGGGAAAATTAGAATACTACTGCATTGTTGGTGGAGTTGTGAAATGGTCCAACCATTTTGGAGAGCAATTTGGAACTGTGCCCGAAGGGCTATAAAAATGTGCATACTCTTTGACCCAGCAATAGCACTTCTAGGGCTATATCCCAAAGAGGTCATACAAATGGGAAAAGGACCCACATGTACAAAAATATTTATAGCAGCTCTTTTTGTGGTGGCAAAGAATTGGAAATTGAGAGGATGCTCATCAATTGGGGAATGGCTGAGCAAGTTGTGGTATATGAATGTAATGGAATACTATTGTGCTATAAGAAGTGATGAACAGGCTGACTTCAGAAAAACCTGGAAAGACTTGTATGGTCTGATGCTGAGTAAAGTGAGCAGAAATATGTTTAATAGGAATGTATATGTATAGCCTATATCAGATTGTGCGCCATCTTGGGGAGGGTGGTAGGGAGGAAGCGGGAGAAAAATTTTAAACTCAAAAGCATATGGAAGTGATTGTTGAAAAATCAAAATTAATTAATAAAAAAGAAAATGAGATTTTGCTATCTGGAGGCCTTGACATCTCTCTGTCAAAAATAATCAAATAAAGTTGACAATTTATGCAACGACACAGCAGAGCTAAGATGGTAAAACCAATCATTTTCATTTTTGGAAGGAAAGAGGAGAATCGATACACATATTGATTATCCCTCAATCAAGCCTATGTTCCAGTTCCTAATCTTGCTCATTTTCTATGATCTACAGCTCCAGCATACCTCAGCTACACAGTGTTGGTCATACCCTTTGTCTTACCATCACCCACAAATGCACCACTTCCATGTTCATGAATTCAGAAATTTTCTTATCTGATAACAATCTGTTGTCATTTCACCTCTCTCTTTGCCCTTTTCTTTGTCTACATGGTGATGTCCACTCCCTCCATATGTCAGTTTTCTCCCAGGCCATCACCCCTGCACTGGCTATACTCTTCCCCACTCTCCATCTTGACCTTTTGGTGAACCAGTTCAACTCTACACTATCCTCTTGATTCCCTTGTCCCTTTATCTTATTATTGACCTTGCTCTGCCAAGTCTCAGCCTTGGATCACTCCCACTATCTGCTGCCTTTGTCCTTTTCCTGTGCTACTGAAGAGAGGTGGAGAAAATTGTGAAACTATTCTGACTGGGTCCACTATGAATTCTTGTTACATAGCCTCAACTGAGTCCTCACTGCTGCAAGGCAATCCTTTTATATCTCCCTAATCAATTCATTATCCCATTTGATTTAGTGGCTTTTCCAAACCTTTTTTATCCCTCTTCAAACCTCCAATGGCTCCCTCTCCCCCTACTCCTCTCCACTGAGAAACTTGCGTTATATTTCACTGAAAAAAGTTGGGGGCATTTGCCAAGAGCTGCCTCTTATCTCCTCCTTCCCACCTCATACCACTCAAGCGCTTTCTGCCACTATCTTCACCTTCACTCCTAAAGAAGTGGTCCTTCTTGCCAAGACAAATTTCTCTACATACACAAGTGATTCTATGCCATCCTGTCTTCTCCAGCATAATTCCCCCTCTATCATTCTTACTCTCTCACTAAATATATGCCTATTTCTTCTCTGTCCTCAAAAATCCCTCGTATGATCTGTTCATCCCTGCTGGCTATTGTCTTATTTCTCTTCTCCCTTTTGTTACTAAACTCCTTGAGAAGGCTGTCTACAATTGGTACCTGCACCTCCTTTCCTCTCACCTAGTTTTTTTGTTTTTTTGTTTGTTTGTTTTTGCTAGGCAGTGGGGTTAAGTGACTTGCCCAGGGTCACACAGCTAATAAGTGTTATGTGTCAACTCAGGTCCTCCTGAATCCAGGGCCAGTGCTCTATCCACTGCGCCACCTAGCTGCCCCCCTCTCACTTAGTTTTTCGCTCTCTTCAGTCTGGCTTCCAACCTCATTAACAACTGAAACTGCTCTTTCCAAAGTTACTCATGATCTCTTAATTACCAGATTTTTTCAAACCTCATTCTTCTTGACCTCCCTGAAGCCTTTGACACTATCACCCCCTTTTTTATATTCTCTTTTCTCTAGGTTTTTTGTGACACTACTTTCTCCCCATTCTCGTACATGTCCGACAATTCCTTTTCAGTCCCTTTTGATGGATCTTCATCCAGCCTGCCTTTAACTGTGTGTGTTCTTGTTCCAGCCTCTCTTCTCTTCTCTCTCTATACTATTTCACTTGGTGATCTTGGTGATCAGCTTCCATGGACTCAGTTACCGTCTTTATGCTGATCATTCTCAAATCTCCTTATCTAGCACTAACCTCTCTGCTGACCTTCAGTCTTGCGTCTACAGTGTCTTATTAGAAATCTCAAACTGGATGTCTTAAAGAGATATTAAGTGCAATGTGTCCAACAGAATTCATTATCTTTTCCTATAAGCCATCCTGTCTTTCCAATTTTTGTGTTACTGTTGAAGGCATCACCATCTTTCTAGTGACCCAGCTTATAACCTTGATATCATCCTCAGTTCCTCATGCTCTCACCCTCCCCACCCCTATATCCATTTTGTTGCCAAATCCTGTGGATTCTACTTTCATCACATCACTTATATATGCCATCTTCTCTGATGTTTCCACCACCCTGCTTTGGGAATGCATCACCTCTTACCTAGACTACTGAATATCTTCTGGTTGATCTCCTTGGCTCAAGTCTCTTTCCACTCTAATCCATCCTCCACTTACCTGTTAAATTGAAAAGGTGTATACATGTCACACTCCTTCAATAAATTCCAGTGGCTACCTATCACTTCCAGGAAAAATATACAATCCTTAGTTTGGCATCCAAAGCTATAACTTCCTAACTTGGCCCTTTCCTAGCTTTCTTGTCTCCTTTTTTTTTTTGTAAAACATCAGTTAATATGTGGACACATTTATTAGTTCTATAAGAATAAATAAAATAGACCACACAGTTAAAGACAGTAAACTAATTGAAAAGAAAAGAATTATGTTCAAAATGACAACATACTTCCTCATAGAGGAGCAAGAATTTCACATGAACAAAACACCACTGTTCCCTCCATAAGAATGGAATATATTTTAGGATTAGATTATTTAGTTTCTGATTATTTTTTAGTCTATCTTTCCGTGACCTTTTATTACATATAATTTTTATTTCATTATGATCTGAAAGCTTTTCTGTCTTGTTATACCTCCCTGCCTCCAGCATAGTATGGAATCCAGTGACCCTGGCCTTCCTTGCTCTTCTTTGAACAAGACACTCCATTTCTTGGCTCTGTGCATTTTTACTTGCTTCCTCCAGGCTTGGAATGTTCTTCTTTCTCACACCCACCTTCTAGCTTCTGTGGCTTCTTTCAAGTTTCAGTTTATGCCCTACCTTCTGCAAGAATCTTTTCTAATCTCCTTAATGCTAGCATGTTCCCTCTGTTGATTATGTCCCATGTATCCACTTTATCTTTATTATATACCATGTATCCACATAGTAGCTCTATGAACCCCTTGAGAGCAGGAACTATTTTTTTTTTAACTTTCTTTGCATCCCAGCACTTAGCACAATGCCTGGCCTATAATAGGTATTTGATCAATGCCTTTTGACTTTGACTTAGGCTTTGGAAGAGTATTTTATATCAAGAAGATATATTCCTGTGATGAAATCTATGAACAGCAAGGAGAAGGAACAGTGGAAAGTATTTGGGAGAGGATCAAAGTATGGACAAACAGAAGCCAGTGTGGTGGGAATACGTACAGAATGCTTCATCAGAAAGAGAAAATGGATAATGAGTTCTAAAAGCTCATCACAATCCTGTCATAGAGGCAGGATAAAGTAACAGTGGAGAATTTCAATATGCTTAGGTTGTCTCTCATCTAAAAGCAGAACAGCTAAGAAATTCTTGCCTTGCAAATAATTTTTAGCATCTAACATAGTGCCTGGCACACAATAGGCATTTTATAAATGCCTTTTTGAATGAATGTTGAATGAATCCTTTAGAAGGGAAAAGCAATGAAGGGAAGGGATCACTGTCCTATGAAGGGACTATTCTGGCCTTGATTCTGACTAAAAAGGAAGAACTGGTTGTTGAAGTAGAACTGTCAGGAACCTGGGGAGGAAGTAACCACACCATCTTAGAGTTGATAGACAAAGAAAGGCATGGGGGGGGGTGTCTGATGTACACCTTATATTCTAGAAGATTAGGTTTCTAAGAATTCAGAGATATGATCACATGACCTAATGTTCTACAAGGGAAACTGGCTTAGCCAGGAATTGAAAGCTCCCAGAAACAAAATTCTGACAACAGAAACACAAATAATTCTAATGAAGAAGAAAAGGGGAAGCAGCTTAAAGAGCCTGGTGTGGCTATACAGGGAACTAAATGACTAACTAAGAAGTTCAAAGGATATGTACAGGAAATGGAAGTAAGGGTAAGTAACTGAGAATAAATACAAAATATGGCATGATTTTTTCAGAATAATGTCAAAACAAAAACTGCCGAGAAAACTGGAAAATAGTGTGGCAGAAACTAGGCATGGACTATAGACTATCTTACACCCTATACCAAGGTAAGATCAAAATGGGTACATGATTTAGAAATTACGGAAGATACCACAAACAAATTAGAAGAATTTATGACCAAACGAGGTTGAGAACATTATGAAATGCAAAATGGATCATTTGATTACATTAAATTAAAAAGGTTTTGCACAAATAAAACCAACGTAACCAAGATTAGAAGGAAAGCAGAAAGCTGGGAAACAGTTTTTACAGCCAGTGTCTCTGATAAAGGCCTCTTTCCTAAAACATATAGAGAACTGAGTCAAATGTATAAGAATACAAGTCATTCTCCAGTTGATAAATGATCAAAGGATAGGAACAGGCAGTTTTCAGATGAAGAAATTAAAGCTATCTATGGTCATATGAAAAAATGCTCTTAACCACAATTGATTAGAGAAATGCAAATTAAAACAACTCTAAGATATTACTTCACATCTATCAGACTGGCTAATATGACAGAAAAGGAAAATGATAACTATTGGGGAAGATGTGGGAAAATTGGAACACTAATGCTTTGCTGGTAGAGTTGTGAACCGATCCAAACATTCTGGAGAGCAATTTGGAATTATGCCCAAAGGGCTATAAAATTGTGCATACCCTTTGACCCAGCAATACCACTTCTATGTTTGTATCCCAGAAAGATCATACAAATGGGAAAGAACGCACACGTACAAAAATACTTACAGCAACTCTTTTTGTGGTGGGAAAGAATTGGAAATTGAGGGGATGCCCATCAACTGGGGAGTGGCTGAACAAGTTATGGCATATAAATGTAATGGAATACTATTGTGCTATAAGAAATGATGAGCAGGCTGATTTCAAAAAAAAAAAACCTGGAAAGACTTACATGAACTGATGCTGAGTGAAGTGAGTAGAACCACGAGAGCATTGTACATAGTAACAGCAACATTTTGCAATGATCAACTATGACAGACTTAGCTCTTCTTAGCAATACAATGATCTAAGACAATTCCAAGGAACTTGTGATGGAAAATGCTGACCACATCCAGAGAAAGAACGATGGAGTCTGATTGCAGATGGAAGCATACTATTTTCATTTTTTTTGTTTTTTTCTTTCTTGTAGTTTTTCCCTTTTGTTCTGAGTCTTCTTTCACAACATGACTAATGTGGAAATATGTTTAACATGAGTGTACATATATAATCTATATCAGATTGCTTGCTGTCTTGGGAAGGGGGGAGGGAAGGGAAGGAGGGAGGAAGATTTGAAGGTCAAAATCTTACAAAGATTAATGTTGAAAACAATCTTTACATATAAATGGGAAAAAAATATACTATTAAGTAAAAAAAGGGGAAAAAAAAGAATAATGTCAAGAACCATAAAGCCCAGAATAGGCTGTAAGAGAAAAGTATGTTGGAGGCAAGAGAGAGATCATAGAAAGGATCAGACTATGGCTTGGTGGATAGTAAAGGGCAAGAAAGATGGGGTAGAACTACTGTTAACATAATGTACAACTATTCTCTTGGTTTCCTTTTGTAGCTCTTGGACCTCACATGTAGCCCTCTCTCCCCCAAGAAAATAAATAAAGCTGTATTAGATTTAATGTATCAAAACGCAGATACTATATGTGTTTTTAAATTTTTATTTATTTTTAGTTTTTTTAACTATTTATTTATTTTTAGTTTTCAGCATTCACTTCTATAAGATTTTGAGTTTTGAATTTTCTTCCTCTCCCTCTCCTCCTCCCTCCCCAAGATACAGGCTCTACTTATTAAGCTTATTTTCACATTAGTCATGATGTATAGAAGAATTAGAACTAATGGGAGGAACCATGAGAAAGAAGAAACAAAACGAAACAACAAAAGAAAAAGAGAGCAAATAGTATGCTTCCATCTGCATTCAGACTCCATAGTTCTTTCTCTGGATGTGGATAGCATTTTCCAATGTGATTCTTTTGGAGTTGTCTTAGACCCTTGCATTGCTGAGAAGAGCTAAGTCTATCAAAGTCAGTCATTGCACAGTGACACACTATACAATGAAATGTGAGCCTTGCAAGGTTCTTAAGTCTTCCTGACTCTCAGACTAGTTCTCCAGCCACCTAAATTATATTCTGAAATTCCTATGTGGTAGTGAAAAGAGTATTGGCTCTTCAATAAGACTTAGGTTGAAATCCTGTCTCTAATGCTTAATTACCTGTGTTACCTTCTGCAGGTCATTTAACCTCTCTGGGTCTCAGTTTCCTCATCTGCAAAATAAGGGGTTTAGATTAGCAACGCGATGATAGAGAGTAGGGCATATTGGGAAAAGGGGTAATCAGAAGCAAATACTTCTGAGGAGGGACAGGGTCAAAAGAAAGAATAGAATAAATGGGAGGGCAGGATAGGATTAAGGGAAATAGAGTTAGTTTTTCACAACATGTCTACTATGGAAGTGTTTTGCATAACTGCACATGTATAACCTATATTGAGTTGCTTGCCTTTTCAATGAGAGTGGGGGGGGGAGGAAGGGAAAAAATTTGAAACCAAAAGTTTTAAAAACATATATTTTTTAAAAAGTGTTTTCACATGCTACTGGGAAATAAGAAATACAGGAAATGGGGTACAGAAGTCTATTCTGCCCTACAGGAAAATAGAAGGGGAAGGGGATAAGAGATGGAAGAGAGGACAGGCTAGGGGAAGGGATATTCAGACTGCATGCCATCTTGGGATGGGGGGAGGGGTGAGATGGAGTGAAAATTTGGAACTCAAAATCCTGTGGAAGTAAATATTGAAAACTAAAAATAAATAAATTAATTAAAAAACCCAAAAAATAAATCTAATTGTCTTGATTTTTGCTGTTTTAAAATTTTATGGTGAAATAATATTTTTGTGATGGATGCATAAATGGTTTATAGAGAAAATCCCCTGGAACAACTGAAACTAGTACAAGTGAAAGGTACTGCTCTCTATGTATATATTTTCATTACTGGAAGGAGCAGAAAAACAACGTTTTGTGTCATTTTTATGCAGCTTGAAGAGAAATACAAACAGTTCTGAGAGAACTTAAAACAAAAGCAGCCTCTCAGGTAAAAGTGGAGGAGAGACATGTAAAGTTCTGAGAAGACTGGAATGAAAGCGTGGCTCTCGTAGATAAAAGTACTCATTATTGTAAAAAAAAAAAATCTCTGATGTGTATTGTTTCCCAGTAGCTAATTTATATATGGTTGTTTTTTAGGACTTTGAAGTTTTTTGCTTGGAAGCTCTGAATCAAAGAATTGTTTTGGAGACTATGGGACTATTATATCTTAATTTATGTCATATCTGACAGTAATGTGGATTTTGAGCTTTTCATATTCATGATAAGGCTTTGATTTGAGGCATTAGAAGCCAGAGAAAACTCAGAGGAACCAACTAGAGGAGCTGCTTACGGAAGACAACACAGGAGCCAGCAAAGCCAGGAGAAAAGATGCTGAGACATTGGGAGGGAAGGGCAAATGAGACTGGCAGACAGGAGACAAATAAGCTCTGCAGTCGACGAAGGGAGGCGATCTGATTGGAAGATTCTGGGAGCTGATTGGAGAAAGCAGTATCTGATGCATGAAAAGCTGGCTGGAGAAGGCTCTCTACTTCCATTCATAGCTTGAAGAAAGGAAACCCTCCAAACCCTACATTGCTTTTTACTGCCCTCTATGGCTCAAGAGGGGAATCTCCCTTGAAGCTGTTAGAGAAATGAATGGCTTCTCAGATTCCCATGGATACTGTGTGCATTAGTGGGAGCACTGGAGCCTTAGTGCCAGGAAGACCTGTGTTCAAATCCAACCTCAGATACTTCCTAGCTGTGTGATTCTGGCCAAGTCACTTAACTGCTGCTTGCCTCAGTTTCCTCATCTGTAAAATAAGAATAATTATAGCAACTATCTCCTAGGCTTGTTGTGAAGATCAAATGAGGTAATATTTGTAAAGTGCTTTGCAAACCTTAAATCATTCTATAAATGCTAGCTGGTATTGATTATAATTATGTGATTCAGGTTTATGGGTAAACTGTTCAGTTTTAATTATTCCTGCTTTTGCTTTCTATTTAGTAAATGTTATGATTATTCTTGTTTTTCCCCTCTGGTTTAGTAAATGTTTCGTATTTAAGAGTTAATAGTATCATTGTGCTGATTAGTGCCACTAGGAAGCACATCCTTAGCAGCTCAGAAACTACAATTATGAATTTAGATATGTATTTTTCCCTACACCAGAGTTACCCTCTAGATCCCTGACAGTGAGTTGTGGCAGCATGTCAGCTGTAGCCATCCTCCCCTCCCCCTACCATAAGAAGACCCTCAGATCTGCCGACATGAGTGCAGTTTGGGGTGAATATGCCAAATAAAGCGGGACAGGGGTGGGGAGGATCAGGTGCCCTTTACATAAATAAAAACAACAGAAATACAAAACACAAAGTAAAAAGGCCAAAACAAAGAATTATAATCTACTATATTTAAGATTGGGAAAGACAAATATTGTTGGTGGAGAGGAAAGGGGGAAAGGGAAGGGAAGGGAACCACTTATTGAATGTTACTATGTGCCTGGGGGGCAGCTAAGTGGCACAGTGGATAGAGTGCCAGACTGGTCAGGAACACTCATCTTCCTGAGTTCAAATCTGACCTCAGACACGTTCTAGCTGTGTGACCTTGGGCAAGTCACTTAACTTTTGTTTGCCTCAGTTTCCTCATCTGTAAAATGAGCTGGAGAAGGAAATGACTAACCACTCCAGTGTCTTTGCCAAGGAAACTCTAAATGGGGTCACGGAGAGTTGGACACGACTGAAAAACAACAACAGCATGTGCCAGGTCCTGTGCCAAGTGCTTTACTGCGATGTTTTATTTGAATATGTGCTTTAGCTACAAGCAGTAAGAAGACCAATAAATTGCAATGATATCTTGAAGATGCATTTGCAGGATACAAGAAATTTTTCCAAAGAAAATTGTGTACTTTTAGTATTATATACTTTTGCATATTGTATACTTTTAATAAGCAAAAACATTAAAAAAAACACATCTGTGGGTCTGTGGCGTCAAAAAGATTGCTTGTATTATACAAGATTGTTTATAGAGTCTTTAAGTTTAAAGAGCTTCATTTAGTAGGAAAAATGTTACAGCTATTGATAAGGTCAAAGTGATCCTTAGGGAACAACATGCAATGCAAACTTAATAGTTCCACTTGCAGATAATACAATGGGAAAGAGAATTGCCCATATGTCTGAAAATGCTTGTGGTCCATTAATTGAGGAGCTACGGTCTTGCTATTTTGTATTGTAAGTGGATGAAAAAACCAATGTAAAGATGCCCATTTAAAAAAATATATGTACAATATATTGTTGAAACTGATGTTAGGGAAGATTTGTGACTTTTGCAAACCTATTGATGACAGTACCATATCAAGAGAAAATTTCAATATAATTGACAGAATTTTAAAAGTGAAAATGATAAATGGCAGGATTATAGCAGACTGCAGTGATGAAGCCCAGGTGATGTTAAGATAAAATGTAGGCCTACAGTTTAACACGTATCATGAAATGTGCAAGAGGAGCTACGTAAGTCCAAGTTGTTTCAAGAGTAACCAACTTTGTAATAAACAGTCCATTAAAAGGAAGTTTCTTTACAAAATTGTATGACAATATAGGGATAGAGCATAGGGCACTTTCATATTATCACAAAACACGATGGCTTTCTTATGCTAAAGTATTTCGAGGGCATTTAAAATTAATGAAGACTTGTCATTTTTCTTAGTGACAATTACAAAGATGAAGTAGATTGGTTTTATAACAAAAATTCCCTCCTGAAACATATGTGTCATGGATTATTTTGGAAAGCAGCACTCTAAATGAGTCCATGCAAGGTCCTCAAAATCATACTGTGCTCCAGAAAGATGGAGTAATTGGATTTAGAAAAAGTTAGAGCTATGGATAATAAATTTATAAAATAATTTTTGCTTTGTTTTTCAATATGAAAAAAAAATTCTCCCTGCAAATGAAATAGAAGGAAAGACCTGCCTATTGATCACTTGACCAGTCTGTAAAAGCCAGTCTCATTGCAACTTAAGGACCTAGATATTTCTATATATGAATGAATAAGGAACCCATTTGCTATGGACACATACGATAAATTTATTTTTTCTCCATCTGAATAGGAAAAATGAATAATCTTATCTGAACCTGAAAACCTTGTTATGTTTTGGCTATAGGTAAAGAAAGTTCTCTGATTTATGGAAATGATTGCTATAAATTTGATTAGTGTTAACATTTCATTTTGATGAAATGGTTTTTTTTCTGGCTTTCAGTGCTGGAAATTCCAAATATCAATCTTAATTGGTGGTTGAATAATAATTTTTAGTAGCAATGTTATCAATGCACTGTTTTGAAAACTTTGCACTAAAAAAGACCACCTGAACACATTCATATCATTATGATAGCGGTTATTTTTGTATTTTACACATGAAAGTTGAAAAGGATTTCCTCAGTCAAAAGTTGTATGTTATGTTATTTTTGTTGTATAGTTAAGATTTTTGTGTTATAAAATTGTAATAAATTCTTAATTTTGAGTAAAAATATGAGCTAAAATTATTTGCATAGATCATTTTTATTACAAAGTGGTAAGTCTAACAATTTTTTTTTTTGCTAAAAGAAAAAGTTGGGGCATTGTTAGATAAAATTTAGAAACTGCTGTGACAAGAAATGACACCTGGTGAGCCTCAAAGGAAGATAAGGATTCCAGTAGGTGGCGCTGAAGAGGACACCTATACCAGACAGTGATCTTCTATATGATGGGGACAGTGTGGGGACAGTAGATGTAATGTTAAGTTCTTCAAAGAGCAAGAAGGCAAATTTAGCTGGAATGTAGATTGTATGGGGGGAAGAGTAATGTAAAATAGGTCTGTAAAGATAGGCTGGAGCCATACTGTGAAGGGCTTTACATGTCATACAGAGACTATATTCTAGAGGCAATAGGGAGCCACTGAAGCCCTTGAGAAGAGTAGAGACACAGCCACATTTATACTTCAGCAAGATTATTTTGGCAGCTATGTGAAGGATACATTAGAGAGAGGAGAGACTAAACCAGGAGCCAATTTGGAAGACAATTACAAAAGTCCAGGAGAGAGACAATGAGAGTCTGAAACAGGGTGGTAGCTATGTGAGTGCAAAGAAGGGATGGGTACAGAGAGATGTTGTTAGGTAGAATCTATTGTTATTCAGTCATTTTAGTGCAAGAAGGGGATGGATATAAAGAGATGTTGTCAGTTAGAGTCTATTGTTGTTCAGTTGTTTTAGTGGTGACTCTTCATGACCCCATTGGGGTTTTCTTAACAAAGACACTGGAGTGGTTTGCCATTTCCTCTCCAGCTCATTTTACAGATGAGGAAACTGAGACAAACAGGGTTAAATGACCTGCCCAGGGTCACACAGCTAAGTGTAACAGGCTGGATTTGAACTCGGGTCTTCCTGACTCGAGCCTGGCACTATTTCACCACCTAGCTTCCATTAGAATCTGTAAGACTTTGCAACTGATTGGATAGGATGGGAGAGGTGCAGGAGAAAGAAGAATTGCCCATGATGCCAAGGTCCAGTCAAACATAGTGACTGAAAGGATGGTAAACAGAAATAGAAAACTTTGAAGGAGGAGTGAGTTAAAGGGATAAGGAGGCCCATTTTGGACACTTTGAATTTGAGATGCCCAGGGGACTTCCGTGTAGAAATACAAATAAGCAAGTGGTGCTGCTGGAGTAGAGCTCAGGAAAGAGATTACTGATGAGGGTCGTTTGCAAAGAGATAATAATTAAGCCCATGAGAATTGTTGAAACCACTGAATGAGGATATAGAGAGAGGAGAAAAGGCTTCCCAATGCATGGCTAGTGGTCCAGACTAGGGTGATACAGCAGAAAAAAGTGAATGAAAAGGAGCACATACACAGGGAGGGAGGAGAACCAGGAAGGAGTGTCCAGGATGAGGGGTCAGTTTTGTCAGAAGCTATAGAGGTGTCAAGAAGAAGGAGGGCTAAGAGAAGGTGTATGGAGTTAGCAGCAAGGGATTGTTGCTACCCTTGGAGCAAGCAGTTCCAGTTGAGTACTGAGGTGGGAGTGAGAAGTATGTGGAAGAAGAGAAAGTAGAAATAAGAAGTGTTAACTTTTTCTGGAAATCAGGTCATGAAAGGGGAGAGAGGTATAGGACCCCTGTTTTAGCTCATTATTCTTACTGACTACTTGACAGTTAGGGCCTGGGGAATGTGCATATGTGTATATGTGTAACTGATCTGACACATTTCTCCATTCCCTTTCACTACCACCATCCATGACTGAATGTAGGCACAGTCCTAGGCAGCAGCTCTATTTGCCCTGTGACCTTTAGATGATGAGTTCCTTGATTTGAGGGCAGGGTCTATCATTTGCCATTTTTTATATCCCCCAGGGCTTAGCATATAGTAGGTGCTTAGGACGTGTTTAATGACTGACTGATTGATGGTAGGTGAGACCTGGCCTTGGGCCTAGATCCTCCACTCAAGGCCAAAGATGCCTGCCCTCTCCTGATCTTGCCTCTCCTGAGTGGGGGACTGGGGTAGAGGTGGGGGAGAGAGAAGAGGTTGTACATCATTGTGGGCAACATGCCCTTGAGTAGGTCCATGGCCTTAGAATCTCTATCCTCCTGAGTCTAAACTCCCCCTGTAAAGCAGAGAGAGGGCTAGTGAAAGGAGTCGAGGTCCTGGAACCTTGAGAAGGAGAAAGGCATTGGAAGTTAAGGCAGTGGCGTCTCCAGGCTGCTAGGGGGTATCTGGGTGACACAATGGATAGAGCCCTGGACCTAGAGTCAGAAAGACCTGAATTCAAATGTG